TTGTTTCCTACTACACAAAGCAGTTTTGCTTTCAGTCTTTTCTAGACCACAGAAAGACAAGAAGACACTAAAGCAAGCCACCCTGCCTTGTCAACTCCTGCCAATTCCAAATCTCCTGAAGAATGGGCTGCGGGAGGCCAGGAGATGGGGTACAGGAGGTTCAACCTCTGCCTGAGAATGAACCATAAAGCCACCAACACCCTATTCCCCAGCAGTGCACCACAGCAACCTGGCTAAACTATGTATAATGAGAAAGAAATCAGGAACACACTGAACTCAAAACCTCGAGTACATTTTAAATCCTGGGTTAGAATCATTTCAATCAACAGAGGCCAAGCAATTTCTGTATTCAGGCTGAGTTATTCTTTTGGTTTAATAACAAAGCAGTCAGACACTGTTCTACTTAAAGAAATTTAAAATACCCCAATTGCATTCTAAATCTCAGTAGAGAATATGGAAACAGCTTACAATGGACTTTGTCTCTTTTTTATGTGTATTAGTGTTATGCCTGCGTGTGTATAAGTGCACCCGTGTTATGCAGTGCCCACGGAAGACAGAAGAGGATGTCCGATCCCCTGGAACTAAAGTTACAGATGGTTGTTAGCCACCATGTGGGTACTGAGATTTGAACCCAGGTCTTCTGCAAGAGCAGCCAGTGCTCTTAACCACTGAGCCACCTCTCTGGCCCCTGGGCTTTGTCTTAAAGAATAATTAAGGAAAATACCCAGATTTTTGACAATAGGAAACAGTTATTTGTACATTACTATATATGTCACAAATCAGAAGCACAATTTTTCTATTTTCTAGCATAGCATTTTTCAGAATGCCTTACAAAGAATACCTGTGTAACAAGAGAAAAGGGAGTCAAATATTTTGAACTGCTCTGTCTGGAAATGACTGTGCACTTTTGCAAACCACAAAGTGAGGAGTCCTGAGGTGGTATCTGTGGAATCTGGCATTTCCCTCAAGTTTGTTTGGATGGGGAGCCCTTTGTTTTCTCCTCCCACAAAATGTCTGTTTCACACAGAACACTCTAGCAAAGATTCTTCTAGAAAAAGGATATAATGAAATGATTTAAGAGATGAAATTCTGGAGACAACCTGATTCAAAAAACAGCTCTAGCATTGGTTATCCATGGATGCTGCACAAGCTTTTCGATGTCCTTCGCCCTTCAGTTCCCCCAGGTAAAATGACCAAATAATCGGCACCTACCTCCTAGAATGTGGACCTTCCATCTGACTGGAACAGTCTTCTGAGATCCTTTCCTTTGTCACTGAGGTCTCAGTTCACAGTGACGGTCCCTGCAAGATGCCCTCCCTGACTAGCCAGTAGGAAACTGGCCTTGCTCAAGGTAAGATGCCTTCGTCGCCTTCTTGGCACTTCCCTATTTTTTTCATCTATTTTCTCACAACAGAATGCAAATACCATGGATCCAAATACTGGTTATCATTCCACACCAGCAAACAGATCACAATAGAATGCAAATACCATGGAGCCAATACTGGTTATCATTCCATACCAGCAAACAGATCTTCAGTAAAAATTCACCCAGTGAGCACCAGGCATAGTGGCACACACTGTAATCTCAGGACTCTAGAAGCTAAGGCAAAAGGATCACAAGATCGAGGCAGGCCTGGGCAACACAGCAAGTTCGAGACAAATCTAGGCTACAAAGCAGACCCTGTCTCAAACAAACAAGCAATCTAAGTGGATTAATAAATAAAGTGGTTGTAAGAATTCACTGTCATCAGGGTAAAGCACTCTTCCTAGTACCTGACACAGTAACAACAACTCAAATACTTCCGGAAAATGTCAAACTATGAATGGTTAATGAACCTAAAATCATAATTCTCCAATATTTAGCTTTCAGATTCTGAAATTGTTACCGCGCTTAATAAACATCTCTGTCACTTATTCGGGAGTAAGCTGGTAAGCAGTCTCGGGAATGGGCAGAGTCCCACCAGTTCTTGCTGAATGTCGGCTGAAGGCTGCCTTCAGCTCCTTTCCACATTTGCCTCTCCAGATGGGCCTGCCTCATCAAAGCATACAAGCTTAGGAAGCAACAGAATCTGCTTGCAAGATGGGAGTAACAGTGTTAAGTAACACAAGAGTAACACTTGTCAGTGTCTATGCTGTAAATATTCCAACTGTAACCAATTTCAGGTTATCAACAGCTTAATGGCAGGCCCCCAAAGGACCTCACAAGTTACTACACTCCTTTTGGAAAAAGTTCTTTTAAACCTCTAAAGCACGTTTGTTGAGTCCAAGTCTAAAATGAGGGGGTTTTATACAGGCATAAAAATTGCATATTCTCTGTCCTCGAGCCAAGATAAGGGCTGTCAACTGACTTTGGTATGACCAAGGAAACTAGTTACATGTGCTGGCTTCTCCTTCTGTACCACCCTCTGCTGCTCCCAAACTGATGGTAAGTATCTAAACATGACCTGCATCCACAGCAGACCTCTGTGGCGCCCAGTTCATTCCAGAAAAACACCAGTTGTGTCTCTGTTCTTTTAAATGGAGGCAGCCACACAATAGAACCAAGGCAGCATCTATGAAGTGCTGCTAACAAGCAGAATTTAAAGCAGAAGAAGAGTGACTCCACCCTGACCACAAGAACCCAACAAGGGGAGACTGAGGGTGCTGCAGATGGTGGTTTCTCTGGCATCCCGGCCTGGCTGCACAGACAAGATCATCCCTTGGCCCCCAAAATAAAACATCAGCTCTTTCCAACTATGCTGATCCTCTACTAACCACAGTTTTGAGATAATACAAGTAAAATTTCAAAATCCAGCCAGTCTTCATTCAAATCATAAATGCCAGTGACTTTTGTTGTTGTTGTTCCTCTTCTGTAAACCAGATGGGAAGCCCATGGAGTCAAATAGAGGATCCGTTTCTGCCTTGCTGTGTTAGTTACAAATTGCTGCACAACAGATTACCCCAAATTAAGCACTTCAAAACCACACAACCTCATGTACATTATCTCTAAGTTTCTATGAATCAGGAGTCCAGGCACAGTTTAGCTGGGTCTTTTGTTTCATGGTCTTTCACAAGGCCTGACGTCTCATCTGAAGGCTGGACTGCAGAAGGATCCACTTCCACAGACTAAGTGGCTGTTGGCAGTTTTCAGTGTTTGTTGGCTAATAGGCCAAGCACCTCCACACCTCACTGGATGCTGGCTGCCCTCAGACCCTTACATGTAGCATCTTTATATGGTAGCTTGCTTCATCAAAACATTATGGGTCTGCTCACATGATGGATCCCTAACTCCCTCATGAAAGTGCCACTGACACTTCCATTGATAGCACCTCTGCCATACTGTATTGCTTAGATTCAAGTCTCTAGGACTAGCCAGCCCTCAGGGGAAAGGGATTATACAAGGGTGTGAATCCCAAATGATAGGGACCACTAGGGAGTATTTTAGAAGTCTGCCCACCACATTCATACTCCCGACTTCAGATGAGAAGACCAGGCCCAGCGAAACACCTCCTTAAGCATCTTAATAGGAAACCAAGTCATGTGATTTCCTAAATATGTAACTAAGACCTGATGAAAAGAAAGCAAGAGGAAATTAAAGATAAATGATGTGTGCTGGATAGCTTTAGTGTCAACTTGACATACCTGGTTTGAGGGAGCAACAATTGGGGAATTGCCCCCATTGGACTGGCCTGTGGCCATGTCTGTGGGGCATTTTCTTGATTGTTGAGTGATGTGGGAGGGCCCAGCCCACTGTGGGTGGTGCCACCCCTGGGCAGGTGGGCCTGTGTTGGATAAGAGAGCAAGCTGAGCAGGGACCAGGAGATCAAGCCAGTAAGCAGTGTTCCTCCATGGCCTGTGCTCCAGCTCCTGCCTCCAGGTTCCTGCCCCTTGAGTTCCTACCTTGGGTTCCCTGATGAACTGCGACCTGGGAAGATGTAAGCTGAATAAACCCTTTCCTCCCCAAGTTGGTAGTGGTCAGAGTGTTTTGTCACAGCAATGAAGAGAAACAAACCAGAATAAGGATGTTAGTTTGAAAACACCAAAGTCTGCTGAAATGTTCTAAGAAAATCCAGCCAACATCAGAGGACTCCCAGGGGAACATCTGTATCTTAGCAAATCGCACACGGAAATCATGTTTTCTCCACAACCAAGTGAGGGATTCAGAAGGTGGCTGTCTATCTGAATAGGTATTTAATACCAAGAAAATGAGTCTGCTCCGGAATTTATATTTAGCGCAATGTTTTGAAAATGCATCTAATGCCATTGTGTAGCTTACATTTTGCTGTGTGATACCTGCCTTCCCTTAGAAGTTCCACCTGCATGATGCTTTTGATCCATCTCTACCACAGTACCAAAAAACTGCTGTCACCCACATTTTTTCTAAGCTTTAACCAACCATATACTCTCAGATATCTAAGGATCCCAATATTCAGCGGTGGTGGCTAGCCAGAGACACTGCCTCCAGATGACTTCAAATGATTTAATACACTCAGAGCAAAACACATGCTCAGAAACCCCAGAACAGTCTGTTCTAGACAAATGTAAACGCACACAAGGATAATCTTCAACCTAAATGTTCAAAATTAGTCTGTACATTTTACCATTCTTCTCAAAAACACCTAGATGTTTTACTTTCCATAAACTCTGTCCCTGATTATAAAAATCTTGGGTTTGTTGTGTTGCTAACCAGTTATTTGTTTTGTTTCTTTGGAGAGATCTGCAAAACAACCAAACTTAGACCTGTACTTAAAAGCCCCGCAAACCATAGCCACCTGTGGGAAAGCACCATAAAGCACCTTGGGTCTGTCTGGGAAGCACATGCTTGGATCCTAAATATGTGAATAATGACAGGACACAAGTGTGATGCCTGGAGGAAAGGGCTCAGCAAAACAGCCACCGGCAGAGGAAGGTCATGAGGCCGATGAGGTTGAGGTGGGAGACATTTCCAACCTAGAAAATAGCTTGGGAACACATTCAGCATCTCCGACAAGGCTTTGGGGAGGCTGAGTGAACGCTCTTACCTCCCTCAGGTGGATGTTCTCCTTCTCCTTCTGGTCTAAGATCACCTCCAAGTGGCTGACCTGAGACTCGGCCTCGGCCATGCGGCGCGTGCGCTCGTTGTCGTCCTCCAGGCTTTTGGATGGCAACCCTTTGCTCTGCAGCATCTCCAGGAGCTTTTTAATCGACTCATCCCGGGCATTGAGGGTCTGCTTCTGCGTTTCAATCCTCAGCTCCATCTCCTCCAACGTCTTCCTCAGGAGGAACAGTTCCTTGGCCTGCCTGTCGTGCTCGGCTTGCAGCCTGCGGAAGTTCTCCTCCGTCAGCTCAATGGTGAAGTGCTCGGCGCCACGGTTGCCGCTCTCCTGCTGCAGGAGGTGGTTGAGGTCTCTCTGGGTCCGCAGCTCGTCCTGAAGGGCCTGGATGGTCAACTGCAGGTGCTGCAGTGAGACAGACGGAGCAGGAGAGGAGAGAGGAGAAGAGTCAGTGAAAACGCCAAGCGCCACCTGCTGCTACCACACGATGAAGATGGAATGTTAATCATGAGGTCCAGGGGCCCAGCCATGAAGTCCTCCATGGTGACTTCAGAAGCAAGGGGCAGCACATGGAGAGGGGAGATTAATTCAGTGATGCTTTCTGAATGTCTTAGGAGAAGAGAAATGTGCACACACACAGGAACGGTATATTAGTATCAACCACAGGGGAAACTGTACATCTACAGAGTTTTAATTGAGGAAGGGAAAGGGTTAGAGGGAAACTTTCACAAAACACACCTTCTTAGGCCCACAACGCTCCAGACTCAGTATTCCTGGTTTCCTAAGATGTTCTTTATCCATTATTTTCCATAATAAATGTGTATCCGTTTAAAAGTGAAAATAACAGCATCCACTACAAGCAGACACAAACGAGGACTTTATTTTTTACGAATAAAGCTGTGAACAGGTTTAGTAAACAGGATTACTGCCTCTGCAAGCAAAAGGGAGTCAATGTGGACAGACAAACACATTCAAACACACGAGGAGGTGAGACTGTGCGGAGCAAAATGAACAGGCTGCAAGGAATGGACAAACCTTGGTCCTTCTGGCGTCCAGTAACTGAACAGCATGGGAAATGAAAAAAAAAAAATGAAGCAAAAAATCAACATAAAGAAAAGTTCAGTGCAAGCAAAGGCTATTTAACAGAAAGAACTTAACTGACATAGAGCACCCCCACAAAAGAAAAAAAAAAAAAAAACCTCCTTAGTAGAGCCAGTGCCAAGAAGCTACACACAGTCGCTAGCACTGATGTTCAGCTGACGTGAGAAGAAGAAAAACCAATTAAGGATTATTTCACCTTTTGTTTTCCTGTATCTCAGGAAAATTTTGACCCAAGCCAAAATTTGGATGTCTTAACAGAGAGGAAATCTTATCACTCCAGAGTACCCACATGTTTTTCCCAGTTACCATGGTAACCAAAGAGGTGTGAAAGCACCAGAGAAACAAACCAGTTGGCAGTTATGGGAGGGAAAAAAATCCTGAAGGAAGTCAGTGAGTTCATAACATCTTCCTTTCCAGAGCAACCCCAGGCTGGCCAGAGCAGGCAGCTACAAGCTTGGAGGCATCTTTGTCCAAGGACAAACCAAGGAACTTTAAAAAGAGCAATTATTCATTCACAGACACATAATTCTGCCTGTGGACCAGACCACAACATTAAGCACAGGAATCAAGCTGGACATAAGACAGGGCTCCTGCCCATAGGGGGCTCATGGTATTGTAAGGCACAGATAATACTATGTCCAAGTTATAAAAATATTGGAACAGTCAACATTTTGAAATCTGTCTGAAATCCTATGGCTGATACCCAGAGGTGCTGAGATCTTTCTGATGGTGGCCTCCACCCAGAAACTAGCAGAATAGTGCACCATTGAGTTTAAACTCTAGGAGTACACATTTCACCTTCCTATTTAGGAATCAGAAGTTTTTAAAGCACAAGGGAAAAGTGTTCTCTTGCCCGTGTGCGACGGTTCCTTGCATGGGAATGAATGCTATTTAATGACAGAGATTATGTATTATTTTTGTAATAAACACAATCCTGTAGAAGGTAAAATTCAGCATCTTTTAGTAAATTCATAAAATTGTGTGACCATCAACCCATTTTTTAACATGTTTATGACAGAAAGAGACCCTGGATCCTTTAGCAATCATTTCTCATCTCCTTCCCTAGTACAAGCCTTGGTAACCAGTAATTTACTTCTGTCTCTATAAATGTGACTATGATAGGCATTTCATATCAGTGAAATCATGCAATAAATGGTCCCTTTGATTTCACATACTTTCAATGTTTATGCCTGTCTTATCAAGAATTGGTATTTCATTCCTTTTGACAACGGAAGTTTATTCCATTACATAGGTCACATTTTATTTATCCATTTACCACTTAACTCATACAAATTTCATAGCAGCATTATGTACGTTAGCCAAAAAGTGGAAATAACCCATACATCAACCAATGAGTAGGTAAATAAAATGTGTTATATCCAATCAATGGAATATTATTTAGGCACAAAATCGAATGATATAACTAAAGGATTAACCTGAAAATATTTTGACAGTGTGAAACAAACCAATCATAAAAGACCACGAATGGCCTGATTAAACTCATGGAATATCTATATAAGAAAATTCATAGACAGAGATGAATTAATGATTGGAAGGGAATGGAGAGAGAGCAATGGTCAGTAACTACTAAACAGTGTGATGTTTAGTGAAGAAGTGCTCTCAGATTAGATGGAAGTATTATTTTCACAGCTCTGTGAATACACCAAAACGGCTTATTTGTGCTTACATGGGTGAATTGTAGGATAAACTGTACCTCAATAAAACTGCCACAAAACACAGGTGGTGAGACCACAGAACAATATGATCTTTCCCATAATGTTCTGGCCATAAACAAATCAAAAGTGATTCCACAGGAGTATGTACAACTTTCTGCTCTGCTCTTGGGAGCGTGTGTCAGTTATTTAAATATGCTTATTTATCTGGTTATTTAAATACGCTTTGCCACAGCACAGCTTTGTTCTTTGTGATGGCATGAGCTTCTGAGCTGATCAGGTTAATTTGAAGACAAGGTAATGAATCAGGATGATGAAAATGAAAAAACATCTGTGCTGATAAGGTCGTAGTGGTGGTGGTAGTGGTGGTGGTGATGGTAGTGGTGGTGATGGTGGTGGTGGTTTAAAGTGATTCATAAATAAGCCAGAAGGGAGTTCCAAAGAAAATTTACCAACGTTCTCTGATCAGAGACATCAACATTGGAAGGATGACTTTAAAGGGGCTGTGCCTTTGGAGCACCAGGTTGTCTGCCACCCTGGTCCTCTGTCTACGTATCTACAAAGCAGGATTCTCTCTCTAACACCTATCTTATTCCTAAGAAGAATTACAAAGACAGTGCAACAGATGCCAGGCTTAAGTAAAAAAAAAGAAAAAGTTAGGGAAGTTGGGGAAGGAGGAAAACAGGAAGGCAGGGAAGGGAAGGAGCAAAGAAGTAAAAAAAGAAGAACGGAAAATTGGTCCATTTATCTTTTCAATAGGCATTTGCCTAGTATCTCAGTCATGAAATATAAAACAGGAAGAAACAGTCCATGTTCACAGCTCCTGTGGACCAGCAGACCAACAGAAGAAACACTGTCAAAAGAGCTCTAATGAGAGTCACAGCAGCGTGGCTGGGAACGCAGAGAAGCTATAACCCAGGCTAGGGTCACCACTGAGTGTTGTCTTATAGGGAAAATAAGGGTCAGTTCTGAGTACAAAGCTGCAGAAAGACGTGCCTATGGAAAATCTCAGAGGCACAGACCTATTAAAAAATAGTAACAGTGAAAACCCGTACAGTGCTTACCACCTACCGCACCTGGTTCACGGCTCTGTTTAATCTTCACGACAGCCCATAGAGGCAGCTACTGCTATGATGCCACTTAATGGAGGAGAATGTGGAGACACAAACTGAGCAGCAAGTTCCAGCTCCCTCAGCATGGCCAGGAGCTTACCCAGGCAGTCTGACCTCAATGACCATGGCATAAGTCCTTGAGGATGTGCCAGAGAAAAATACCTTGGGGCAGTTACAGTGGGCAGGCAGGCACTTAGAATAGTTCTAACAATTCTCACAATTAAGATTAGGATCCTACAATGCGATCTTTACACCCAAGGCTCAGGGAACATCGCATAAGAGGGAGCAGAAAGATTGTAAGATCCAGAGGAACAAAGACACCTGCTGTTGGTTAAAGCATCCTAGAAGGATAGGGAAGCTGCAGCAGTGAACTCTCTATAGTGTGGTAGTCTAACAAGATCTGCATAGTGATAAAATCAGTTGACATACCAAGGTGGGCGGTAGAACGTCACAGGATACCACTTCAAGATAAAGCGCTGCAGGCACTCAATGAATGCTAAGGGAGAGAACCGGTTTTCTCCAGGGTTTAAGTTATTGAGAGATTATCTAATCCCAAGTGGGCAGCCCTAAACATGGGTATGCATGCGTACCACAAAATGGGCTCAGTGTATTATGCATTGTATGTGTGCATGTGTGTTTATAAATGCACGTATGGATATGTAGCAATAATAATCAAAGGAGAGGTCAAGAAGTTGAGAGGGCGTGAGGGGATATGGGAGGTGTTGGCAGGGCACCAGGAGGGACGCAAATAAAGACAATACTCATGTATGAAATTCTCAAAAACGTCCAATAACAATAAAATATTTAAGAATGAAACTAAAAGAACTAGCCAGCCTGGGTTTTGTAGGAAGGTGGATAGATCCTTGTACATCTCATTAGGAGGTGACGCTTTCCAGGCAATCTATTAGTCATTAAATGAGTTCAGCATGAGTAATACAATCTGATAATCAGCCTAGAATTCAGTGTTCAAAAATCTATGTTTGCATTTAGTTTTCACTCTCTTTTAATCCTAAATTATTCAAGATTAAGCAGGAATCTTCTTATTCCTACAAAAAGGATTCTTGAGCAAAATGTGTATGCCTGGTAAAGCCTTAGTCATCTTTCAAGCTCATAATCCTGGAAAGAGGATGGGAATATGAACTATCACATTTCTCTCTCTCTCTCTCTCTCTCTCTCTCTCTCTCTCTCTCTCTCTTCTCTCTCTCATTATTCTGTCTTTAAGAAACTCAGACCAGAGGAATGTTCATCAGTAAACACATTTGCCTCCCAAGCCTGCTATGAGTTCGATCCCTGGAACCCACATAAGGGTAGAAGGAGAGAATTGACTCCATAAAGCTATCCTCTGACCTCCACAGGAGCACTGTGGGTGCATGCCCCCACATATCATGCACAGAGACACAATAACAAAAAATAAAAGTTTTAAAAAGCACAACATGGGTACACTTACCTACATGCAGGCATAACACTCATACACGTAAAATAAAAATAATAAATTTTTTAAAAAGCCTCAACTCAATCA